GCAAAGACCATGACTTGTATCAGGTGCACTTTAGTCTCCAGTGACATACTTGCTCTTCAGTACTTTGGAGAGGTCTCTAACAGCAGACTTACCCACCTCAATACATCTTTTAATATCCTGGCTGCTGGTGCCAAGAGTGTTGATTGTGGAGCCAAGCAAATTAAAGCTGTTAACAATCTCATTCTCTTCACCATCTATCATGATGCTTCCAAATGGCCCAGTGGTGAAAATCTTTTTTTTCTTGATATTGAGTTTAAGATATTGAAGTTTTCAGTCTTGACCTTCTGCAGCAAGCACTTCAGGTCCTTCCTTCTCAGTTTCAGCAAGTAAGGTTGTGTCATCTGCATAACACAGATTGTTGATGAGTCTTCCTCAAATCCTGATGCCGCACTTCTCCTCATAGAGCCCAGCCTCCCAGATAATCTGTTCTGTATATAGAATGAAAAGTTATGGACAGAGGAGACATCCTTGACGTACACCCTTCCAAATTTTCAATTATGCAGTATTTTCTTGTTGTGTTCTGACAGCTGTCTCCTGGTCCAACTGTAGGTTTCACACAAGCCAGATCAAGTGTTTTTTGATTCCCATTCTTCTCAAAATTAGCCGTGGTTTGCTGTGGTCCACACAGTCCAATGCCTTTGCATAGTCAATGAAATGAATTGTACTCCCTGCTTTCAGCTAAGATCCATCAAACATTAACTACAATATACTTAGTACCATGGCCTCTTCTATACCCAGCCTACACTTTTCACAGTTTTCTGTTGATGTGCTGTTCCAATCATTTTGGCATAATCTTCAGCAGAATCTTGCTTGCATGTGATGTCAATGATATTGTTCAGTAATTCCTGCACTCTGTTGGGTCACCTTTCTTTGGAATTAGAACAAATATAGATCTCTTCCAGTCAGTTGGCTAAATGTTGTCCTCCAAATTTCTTGGCACAACTTGGTGAGCACATCTAGGGCAACATCTGTTTGCTGAAATATATCTGTTTGTTTACCATTAATTCCTGGGGCTCTGTTTTTTGCCAATTCTTTCAGAGAAGCTTGAACTTCGTCCTTCATCACCACAGGCTCTTGCTCATCATACCTTGTTTCATGAAATACTTCTATTTCCACCAATTTCTTTTGGTATAATGACTATATATTCTTTCCATCTTTTTTTTTTTTTGCTAAGTGTTCTTTATTTGCATACTGTCTGCTTGAGGTTTGTCAAGATTTGCAACCATTCTTTCTTAATATTACTTCTGTACCATTTTAAATGAACCAATCACATAGCAACAGATCTTTTCACAACATTCCATATATTCCTCACACTCTTTTCTGGATTAGTTTATTCCCTTCATGTATGTCTAATCTGTAGATAAACATCTGCATTGAATTTCCTTATTTCAGATACTGTGTTTTTCAGGATTTTAAAGGTGCTTTATGGTTGAGCTATTCGTTAAAGAATGTGTTGCCTCTTCTGCACTGCTGTGTCAGCTCTGGGTCATAGCGATTCTATCTACAACAGAACAGGTCCCGCCTTGTGCCCCTCTCAGTTATCTCGAAGATTGAACCCATTGTTACATATTGTATTATTAAGTATATTTTTAAAATGAAATATTTAACATCGTAATATCCTGAAGATACTACTCTGTTTTTTTCTTTGTTTTTAAATTTTAGTTTACTAGTTTTAATGGACATTTACAGAGATTTTGAATTTCCATTCATTCATTGTTGCACTTTTTCTCTACCCCCGCCCCAGTTCTCTCCTCTCTTTGAAAAGCAAAAAGATAAATTTCTTCGTTGGTATACAATTCCCCGCCCTGAATGCACTCCACTATGCAAACCTTAATTCTGGATTCCTGTGATAATCATAATACGCCATCATATATCCATCTTCTTTTAAAACTTCCTGGATCATTTAATATTCTTCCCAAAGCATCCTTCAGTATTGCAACTTAAGGCTTGAATTTCTTCTTCAGTTCCTTAAGCTTAAGAAATGCTGAGTGAGTTCGACCCCTTTGATTTTCTGACTCCAGCTCTTTGTATGTTTTATTATAATGTTGCTTAGAGTCACCAACTGATTAATGGGGGAAAATGTGCATTCATTGTGAGTTATTGCCCCTGAAAATCTTTGGGAAGGCCAGTTATGAGTAATTTCTGAATCAATTATACTAACAAATAATATGAGTGTGTTTGTCAATTAATTACCACTCTGTAATAGTTTGTTTCTACTTGCCTTCTCACAAATATCTGTTCTAAGAAGAACTGTAGCTCACTAACCCTCCCCCAAAAGGCAGACTATTAAGATGATGTGTATTTGTGTTGTTAATAAGCATCCCTTGTTACAGACTTAATTCTCTTAACTCCTTTAAGGATTTTTTTAGTTGTTTTTATTTTTTCCTTCTTACCCCAATCTGGCAATAGAGCTAGGTGAAAGTAACATGCATCTTGTGAGTTGCAATAATGAATAAGAATGCTGAGACTCAGTGACATATGGATTCTGGTAATAAATCGTGTGTTCCTGAAATGAAACCAGTGCATATCATTCTAGAACTGAAAAACATGTCCAGATAAATGCTTTCAGGCAAATCAGTCTGGTTGCTCTGCTTGTTAAATACTTGCATGGCAATTTAAGTTTCTGTCTTATACTGTGTAATTGATGGGCAGTCTCTCAGTGTTTACTTTTCATAAAATTTGGCAGACAGCTTTTGAATAACTCATCTCCTCTGCCACCAACAAGTTTATTTATACTCTTTGCTCAAGTACTCTGTGTCCTCTATTTCTTATTGATGCAACAAACAAAGTTTTGGTGGATTGTGTTTTTTCATATTTGAGATCCTATTATTTGTCTAGCATTATTAGACACTCATGTCTTTTAGGGTCTAGTGATATCTTTAGGAAAGAAGAGAGAAGGATATATTTTTATTCACAAATAGTACAACCTGAACATTAAAACAGTAGGATTTTAAAATAATCTGGATTACTTAAAATTTGAAGCATTAAAACCTCACTGACATGGAGTCAGTTCTGACTCAGAGGCATGACTACTCCAACGGGTCCCGAGGTGGTAAATCTGAAGAAAAGCGGGATCTTTCCACTTTCTTCCTCAGAATGACTGGAGGATTCAAACTGTCAGTCTTTTGGTTAGCAGGCAAGTGTTTGTGGTCACTCTGAAACAAGAATTTTTTATAAGAAAGTCTAGGCTTCAGAGCTCTTATACATAAGGTTACTACAAGTGATGGTATTTAACAACAACAACAGTACTTACTTAATAATTATGGTTAGCAATCTTTGAGAATAAAATTTGAGAATGAGTTAGCAAGCATGCCAGACAGAAAATGTCATATGAGATTATAAATCAAAGTGCCAGGTTGCAAAGTGGTAATTGAGGGCAATTATTTTTTTTGTAATTTCAGTTATTTATATTGCATGCTAAAGGTTAAACTACTTAAACTTTTTGAGTTCATACCTGTTGACCTGGTGCAGCTCTGCTTATTTAAGCTATTTTAATCCTGAACATTTCAAAAGGCATTTCATATATGTGTCAGTGATCTTTTATTATCACACAGAAAGAGTCTTTGAAAGATATTATGCTTCCTTCATCCTCTTTAATTTTTTAAGAAACAGCTCTAGCAGTTTTGATGCATGTGTGTTTGATGGGATGAACTCATTAAGCATATTGACTGCTTGCTATATGTATTATAATTTCCAAAATTTCTCTAAAACATGGCCCATGTGCTTATGAAGTTTCTCACTTCATCACTACTGCATGGAACACACTATGCTAGATATTAGAGACATCACTTTAAGTTATCAACTTCAAAAAGTGCAAGTTGTTACTAAGGTTGATGACACATACGTTCTTCATGATGTATTGAAATCCCATGGATGGCAGAAAACAAATACTTCATGAAGGAAGTGCTACCAGTGTACTCCCTAGAGGCAAGGATGGTGGACTTTTGTTTCACATTTACTTTAGGTCTATCAATCCTTGGAGAGAGGCATCACGCTGGCAAATGTAGAACATCAATGAAAGAGAGGAACCGTCCATGACATGGCTCTGCAGAATGACCACCACAGTGGGCTGGAACATGTCAGAGACTATAAGGATAGTTCATAGAACAAGATTCAGATCTGTTCAAAGCGTGGCTATGGTCACAGCTGACTCAAGGGCATATAATAACAACAATGTAACATACCAGAAAAAATATTCTGAGGAGGTTGTTGTAGGAAATTCAGGCGCCACAATTAGAGTTGATAGTTGGAGACACTAAGGTGGAAATGCATAAAGTACCCAGACAGTAATTGCAACTGCATGTGGTAGATATATGCAAGAGCTCGGTTGTCGTTCCTGTAGTGCTCAGGCTGTGCTGAGTGTGGCAAGCAGCAGACTGGAATCTGAAAGAACAAATCTATAGAATGAAGAGAATTTTTCAGGAAAACAGAATAGCAAGAAGAAAAACTAACACTAAGAGCAAAAGATTAAAAATTAAAAGAACATTTAAAAACTGTGTATTCATCCTAACTCGTTGGAGTTTTCTGTTGTGATTTCAAAAGAATTTTTTTCTAAAATTTCTGTTTTATTTAAATGTACATCATAATATCAGGATCAAGTCTCTATAAAGTACAAAAATACTACATCTTCTTTACATTTGACATATTATCCCAAACAAAGTTAAAATCAAGGTGAAATTTTGTTTTAATTTTTAATGAATGTGCATGCATATATAATGCACATTATATAGCCAAATATGCACATTATGAGCAGGGATACTTTCTTTTGCTCAAGTAAAATTTTACCAAAAAAGGTCTGCAATTCTTTATGGATCATAAATTATTTTCCCAAAAATGAAGGCCATCGACAATGCTAAAATATTTCTTATGAAAGTCTCCTGAATCATGATAATACAGAAATTGTAGTCAGTATTGATTAAATGACACTTGACTGTTGCCTCCACAGATGTATTTTAAAAATATTGATTTTTTTGTGATATTATGTGAACTTTATTTTTCAGGGTGATAATTCCTACGTGAAAGATCGCTGGTGTGTTTTTGATGGTTTTATGGTCTTTTGCCTTTGGGTTTCTTTGGTGTTACAGGTAACGAAATATTTTTAAATCTTAAGGAAGGGATATATTTTGAATAGAAATCATCTCGCATTTAAATGTAACAGAAATATTGATTAATGTATTTCAAATATTAGTGAATATATTTCAAATGAGTTTCTGTAGCAGTATTTTCTTAACTTTTTTACTAAATATAGCATAAATTCAACATTTTTTAGAACTTATTGCAAAGCTTTAATACAAAGAGGGTGAATACAATATCCAAATATTAAACTTTTCGAGCACATGAAAGTAATCTGAAACATGAATTTGGCTTAAAAAGAACCCTTTAGCTACCTTAACGTAATGTTATAAAATTCTTTCAGCAATGTCTGACACTGATCTTTAATCATTGTAAGCCCTGCTTATAAATTACTTAACAATAAGAAATGAAAGTCAATCCTACAAGAAATTATTCTGTATTTGAAGTAAGATGAAACACACTGCTGTGAGTTGGAACCTGCTCCCAGCAGACCCTCCAACAGGTTTCTGGAGGCTGTAAATCACATGTGAAGAGATTGCCCATCTTTTCCCTAGGGAGTGGCTGGTTGATTCATATGCCCAGAACAGGAAAACAGGTACTACCATTGGATTAACAGTCCAACTCAGTGAAGACTACACCATTAAAATGTATATTCATTGATGTAAAAAAAAAAAAAAAGGCTGTGATGGATGGCTGGTATATTTGAACAATTAGAAGTTTGTTATTGTTGTTGTGTATTGTCGAGTAGAATCAACCCATAGCTGACTGACAGGGTTTTTAGAGACAGTAATTGGACAGGAGGAGATTGCCCATCCTTCTCCTGCAGAACAGCTTTCAGCCTTTTTTGTAATTGAGTGCTCACTAAAAATTATCTGTATTAGAATTTTGTAAATAAACGAGTATAACATAAAAAAATTTTTAAAAGCAGATGATGAATGTATGAAGATATAAACTTCTGAATATAAAAACCAATATTTTTAGTTTAAATGCCTTGGTATAGGAATTGAGATAAAGAGACACGAAAAAGACTTAAAGAAAGATTTTGAAATTTAATTATCCTTTTATTGTTGCATAATTTGCCTTTTAATGACACTAAAGTGATTAACAACTATCTCTCATCTTCTTTGAGAAGTTAAAAATTAAAAAAAAATCGATCCTATCAACTCATCATAGTGTTTATTGATAAACTGCCCTTAGTTTTATGAAGTCCCTCTCTCTTCTCTAATAAACTATTTTTATCCAGTGTATTCATGTTCTTTTCTATTTGATAAATATTGAGTGATTTAAAAAAAAGTTTTGTAAATCATTGTGTTGCCTGGATTGTTGTTCTTTTGTAGCATTGTGTCAGAACATACTCACTGATGACCTTCCAGAGAGTTTTCACAGGTTGTAAATCGCTCAAGGGGATAGTATCCATTTTTCTCCCCTGCAGCAGCTTCTGGATTTGAACCACTTATCTTCAGGCTAGCAGTGCAACTCTCAATACTTGACCACTGTATCTTCCTATGTTTGTGGTTTTTTTTCTATTTAATAACTATTGGGTGAATGAAAACCATTTTTCTAATGTTATCTGTATTAGCAAAGCAAGAGTGTTTTTTAAAATATCATTTTCATAAATCCTAGTCTTTTTTACCTAGCTCAGTTTTCCAGATACTGAAAAGAGTTCATCAAGTATATTACTAATAAGCAGGGCTTAATATCTTTTATTTTCTAAATTTTAACTTGTTTGTCAAATAATTATGCAGTGATTAATTATTAATGATTGAACAATAAATGCAATTTTGTGTATTTTTGTTTGTCTTAAGACACCACCATTTTTAATATTTCTTCAAAAGAAACTATATTTTAGTGGAAAATAAATAATAACGGGAGTAGTGCTGGTGCACTTCCTAGTGCATTGCTAGTATATTCCATGATTTTGAGTAATCATAGAGCACTAAGCATTTTTATTTCTCTCCTAATTCATAGGTATTTGAAATTGCAGACATTGTTGATCAGATGTCACCTTGGGGTATGTTGAGGATTCCACGACCATTAATTATGATCAGGGCATTCCGGATTTACTTTCGATTTGAACTGCCAAGGACCAGAATTACAAATATTTTAAAGTAAGTGTTGTTTTATATAAATTAATGGAAGAGTTGATATTTTTTTTAAAAATCTAATTTCTCTTATTTCTCTCCTAGGCGGTCAGGAGAGCAAATATGGAGTGTCTCCATTTTCCTGCTTTTCTTTCTACTTCTTTATGGAATTTTAGGGGTTCAAATGTTCGGAACATTCACCTATCACTGTGTAGTAAATGACACCAAGCGAGGGTAAGTATACCTTTTAACTCTATTTCTATTACTTAAGCTACTTTTGCAATTCTGTATCTTAATTTATTGTAAAAAAAAGTGTTTAGACTACTCTCTGTTATATATTCCCTAATCTTTAAAAATGTTTTGTCTTAATCATAGGTTTGCACAATTTGACGAGTTAGAGGGAGGAGTAGGAAAAGGAAGTGGGAAAGATCTAGTGTGAGAACCAATGTACACAAACTTTGTAAGCAAACCAGTATAAAATAAAAATTTTATTTAAAAAATAAATAAAATTGTGTCAATTTTACAAGAAAAACATTCTAAGTAAGCTAATTTGGAAAATAAAACTTGGTGGGATGGAAGATTAAGCAATTTCAAAATGTGCATTTAGAAACCTTGCTCATGGATAAAATAGAGGGTGCACTAATATTCTCTGGAAGCTTCTTATTGCACTACAGTGGGTACCTCTTGGGTGTAGAGGCAAATATTTATTTTTAAATTAATTCTATTTCTACAAATGTAATATTTTTATAGTCACTTTATTCTATAATAGAGAGAAGTCCCCATAAGATTTACTTGTATAGAAATGTATTAAGAATTATCTTAAAGACCATGACCTAGTCTAAAAGAGCCCTGGTGGTATAATGGTAAAAGTACTCACTTGCTAACCTAAATATTTGTGTTTTGAAATCATCAGTCACTCTACAAAGAGAAAAACCCAGTAATCTGCTCCTACTAAACCATATATGGCAGTTCTACCCTGTAGAACAATCATAGGATTGTATGAGTCAAAGTCAATTTGATGGCATGTAACAACAGTGTTGATTACAGCCCCAGGTGAATTTGAGACTAACTTGTATTCTGAAGATTTTTAGTGTAATGTTTACAAATATTATCAAGTCAAGATAATATTCTAAATGTTTATATCCACTTTATACTTTTGTCTATTTGATCTGCCAGTTACTGAATAGTGTTGTTGGGTGGGGTTTTTTTCCCCCATATAAAACAAAAAGGAGTAGCATCCACTTCCTAAATAACATGCCTCCAGAAACTCTATGAACTGTGATGTGTCAATAGTCGTAGAGGGGCTTCAGGCCTTTTGTTCATAGGATCGCTACGAGTTGTGCTCAACTCAAAGGCAATAAACAAGAACAACAAAAATATTAGTTTCTTTTTTTAACTCTCAGTTTTTGCAGTAAATAATTTACAGCTCTGTGATGAGGTTCATGAACATAAAGTGTCATAATTTCTATCAGAAAAACTGACATTTTTATCATTCTAAAATATGTTTTTCTCAAGTAAATTTTTTTCAAGTTTTCACAGTAGCTGTTGTATTTATTATTTGTATAATATGGTTTCCATCTTTTCCCTTTTATCTTTTCCTGTATGCTTAGTTCTTCATCTTTGTATTTATGATATATCTCTTTTTAAATTTTATATTGGATTTCACACAAAATTCATATATATTGAATTTCATTCATATGCATTGTGTTTCACACACTCCTTCATTCACATTATGTTTCCTATGGTCAGTCTCTTAAATTGTGTTTTATAAAACCAATCACCATTGATCTATGCCCACTATCACCCCATCTTTCAGGTTTCCACTGGATCTTTCCTAATTCCTTCACTTTTCTCTGCTCACCAAACTCTGCCACCCTGTGCTTTTTCCCTTTCCCACCCTGAGTTCCTCTGACCCTTTCCCCTTTGGACTTTTTTGTATATCTAGTTATCCTTCTATTTTTACAACAATGATTTTATGCAATATTTATCCTTATGAGACTGAGATAATTCCCTCAACATAATGGTCTCTAGTATCTCCCACATTATGTAATGTTTCTCAAAATCATTACTCCTCAGTGCTGCATAGTATTCTCTTGTGTGAAGGTACCACAATACCTCTTTTAAACAGGGTATACAGGATGTTTGGTAGGAGAATTTTTTTAAATCCAGTTTGAAAATCCTTACCTTTTATATGGAATGTCTAGTAAATTTATACTCTATTTAATTGTTGATAAGGTTGAGCTTAATCAAACCATTTTACCACTTGTTTATTATTTATAATGTATTATTTTACTACTTTATTTTTTCTGAATTAATCAAATATTTTTAATATTTTATTTTATTTCTTACTTATTAATGTTTTAGCTATATCACTGTGGATATCTTTATTCATATACTTGAAGCAACATAATTTTATTACATTGCTGCTGGCATTTTTAGAAATAGTATTTTTAGTTTACATATTATGAAGTTCATAATACAAAGTGGTTTTATTGTTGTATGGATTAGACAACCAGTTGTCTTTTCATAAATAAGGGGGGAAATAATCTTTAATAATTAAGTAAATATCATAATCACCCAAGGAAAAAATACTAAGTATGGCCCTTTGTAGTTCTTTTATTTCTATCATTTTATTATTTAATATCATTTATAACTTTTTGCCATATTTATAGATATAATTTTATATTCATCATTAGGTTCATGAAAACTGATTATTGGATTAAATAAAATTAGAGATGGTTGAGATTAGCTGAATATACAAAATCGTTCTTTAAAAAATTGCATAAGGAAGTAAATAATGAGAGGAGACCCTAACAATTGATAGCAAAGATTGTAGAAATAATTATTATTCATCTTTCAAAAAAAAAGTGAAGGTTTTGTTTGCAACCTTATTCTAAAATTGATTGTTGTGTTGGTTGCCAATGAGTCATTCCAATCATTAACTCTATGATCTAAACAGAGTAAAACATCCCTATAGTGTTTTCAAGGCTGTGACTTCCTGAAGCAGATCATCTTGCTGGTTTGAGTTGCCATCTTTAGAGCTAGTAGTCAAGTGCATAAAAACATGATATCCTCATAAGAATATAAGAATCAGGAGGCCTGATGACCTGGTGGGTACAGAGTTGTGCTGTCAACCCAAAGTGAATTTGAATGTTCCAAGTACTCCATGCAAGGATAAGTAATCTCTTCCTGAGTGATTTACAGCCTCTGAGAAACTGGCAGAGGGTAAGCCAGGAGTCGGTTCTGACTTAATGACAATGAGGGTTTTTTTTTTTAGTTTGGACTTAATTAACAACTATAAATATATTTGGAATGCAAAGCAAATTAGGGTTTATAATTTTGTTAACAAATTTTAAAAAGTCAATGTCATTAGTTATATTAAAAGGGAATGCATGTCTTTTTATTCTTAGAAGCAATGTTGTTGGTGTGTGCTGTCAAGGTGGAGTTGAGCCGTAGCTGACCTCCAGCGGGTTTTCAGAGGCGGTTAGTTTCACTGGAGGAGACTGCTGCCCATCCTTCTCCTTCAAAGCTGCTGGCCGATTCGACGAACTGCATGCCTTTGGGATTGCAGCACAGTTTTTTTTATAACTAGGCCAGAGCTCCCTACTTATAATTTGTCAAAGGTCATTATTGCTTTTAACAAAGCATAGCATTAGAAAAAAATTTCCTATGCTTTTGTATACTACTCTTTCTGCTTTGTAGCTCATGTTTCTGTGAGATAACAATGCTGCCCTACATTTTTGACCTTTCATGATTCACGTCACAGGTCGGATTTACTTGCCCTTTCAAATCTCCTCAAGCGGATTCGCCATTTTATTCACATTGGTACTTGAATATATTAGTAAATATATTACTCATTAATTTTCTCAACATCATGCTTTCGTATTCTTAAAAACATAAAGCAGATAATTCCAAGTTGTTGTTGTTGTTGTTGTTATGTGCCGTTGAGTCGCCTGCGACTCATAGCGACCCTATGTACAACAGCCCTAAACTCCGCTCTGTCCTGTGCCAATCGCACTGTCTCTGACACTCCCATCCCAATTATCCCAGTCACTGAATCAATCCACCTCATAGAGGGCCTTCCTCTCCTGCGCTGCCCCTCCACACTCCCAAGCATGATGTCCCTCTCCAAGGATCGGTCTTTCCTCACAACATGTCCAAAGTATGTTAGACGGAGCCTCAGAATCCTTGCCTCCAAGGAGCCACCCGGAACCCTTTCCAGGACAAATCTGTTTGTTTTCCTAGGATTCCATGGTATTCTCAATACTCTTCTCCAGCACCACAGCTCAAAGGCATCAATTCTCCTTCTATTCTCCTTGGTCATTGTCCAACTCTCTGATGCATAACAGGTGATTGCGAAGACCATGGCATGTATCAGAGGCACCTTAGTCTCCAAAGAGATACCATTGCTCTTCAGCACTTTGGAGAGGTCCCTAACAGCAGACTTTCCCATGGCGATGCACCTTTTAATTTCGTGGCTGCTGGTGCCAAGACTGTTGACTGTGGAGCCAAGCAAACTAAAGCTGTGTACAATCTCAATCTCTTCACCATCCATCCTGATGCTGCCAGTTGGTCCAGTGGTGAGAATCTTTGTCTTCTTGACATTGAGCCTCAATCCATATTGTAGGCTGCAGTCCTTGACCCTCTGCAGCAGGTGCTTCAGGTCCTCTTCAGTTTCAGCAAGCAGGCTTGTGTCATCTGCATAACGCAGATTGTTGATAAATCATCCACCAATCTTGACCCCACATTTCTCCTCATAGAGCCCTGCCTCCTGGATAATCTGTTCTGCATATAGGTTGAAAAGGGATGCATCCCTGGCGTACGCCCTTCCCAATTTTGAACCATGCAGTGTTCCCTTGCTCTGTTCTGACGACTGCCTCCTGGTCCGAGTATAAGTTTTGCATTAGAACGATCAGGTGTTCTGGGATTCCCATTCTTCTCAGAGTCAGCCACAGTTTGTTATGATTTACACAGTCAAATGCCTTTGCATAGTCAATGAAACACAGATAGACATTCCTCTGGTATTCCCTGCTTTCAGCCAAGATCCATCTAACATCAGCTACAATATCTCTAGTACCACGACCCCTTCTGAAACCAGCCTGGACTTCTGGTAGTTCTCTGTTGATGTGCTGTTTCCAGTCATTTTTGGATAATCTTCAGTAAAATCTTGCTTGCATGTGAAATCAGTGAGATTGTTCTGTAGTTTCCACATTCTGTTGGGTCACCCTTCTTTG